GGCGGCAGAGCAGCCATCGGATCATACCCCTGCCAGGAGCCCCGGGCAAGGAGGCTGAGTGTACATGTGAGCACACACTCACACATGTACACACACTCATGCACATGTGCACATCCCCGTTCACACGTGTGCACACACACACTGTCTGCCCTCGTCCTCCAGGCCCAGGGTGGGACCCCTTCTCTCTTCTCCCTCCATCAGCTCCTTTCCTGCTGCACCGAGGGTCTGGATGCAGGAGACGGGGGTCTAGGCCCACAGGCACAAGGCACCCTCTCCACGGCCACAAGTCCTTCTAGGGCCAGGAGGGCTGCCCACAGCCCAGAGCAGGTGTGCCCTGAGCCCCCACCAGCCTCCCTGTCCCATGCAGGGTGACCCAGAGCAGGGCTTGGCTGTTTCTATAAAGAACCAGAAGGCAGGGCTTCCCTGGTGGCGCAGTGGTTGAGAGTCCGCCTGCCGATGCAGGGGACACGGGTTCGTGCCCCGATCCGGGAAGATCCCACATGCCGCGGAGCGGCTAGGCCCGTGAGCCATGGCCACTGAGCCTGTGCGTCCGGAGCCTGTGCTCCGCAATGGGAGAGGCCACAACAGTGAGAGGCCCGTGTACCGCCAAAAAAAAAAAAAAAACACAGAAGGCAGACGTTTGGCGTTTATGGGCCACAGGGTCTCTGTCATAACCCCTCAGCTTTGTGGTTCCAGCACAAAAGCAGCCATGGGCAACAATAAATGAATGGCCATGTGCCGATAAAACTTTATTCACAAAACCAGACAGCAGTGGCAGGGCACTGACCTCAGCCCCATGGCACACTTGGGGAGATGCGTGCCAGCCAGGCATCGGGGATCCCGGGCCCCGATGCCGCCTGGGGCTCCTGCCTCTCAATGGAGCCAAGGCACCAGCTTCCCACAGGGCAGCGGGAGGGGCACGCATGGAGCTGGGCAGCTGAGCTATGAGGGCAGCAGCTGGGGACGCGGCACAGTCCCTGGTCTCTATTTGCAGAGCTGAAGAGGCTGGGTCCAGAGGCGCCCCACCCTGGCCCCTGCCCCACCTTCTAGGCCACACGCACCAGCCGGGAGCAGGGCCACCGGAAGGTGCGTCTTCAGGAAGGGACTTCCACTTTGCACGGAGGGAAGCATTGAAGCTGGAAATGGCCGAGGAAGGGGCCTCGGGCTATGAGATTCTACTTCTTGGTCTGGGTGCTGAGCACATGGGGAAGGGGAGGTGGGGGAGCAGTGGCCACAACAGCACTCGTGCTAATGATGGACTTTCTGTGATGGAAGACGCACTCCACCTCAGCACAGCCAAATCGACAGCCACCAGCCACAGGTAGCCACAGTGCACTGCGATGTGGCTCCTGTGACCAAGGAACTGAGTTTTAAATTGCAACAGAGCCACCCGTGGCCAATGGCCACCGTAGTGGACAGTGTAGGACTTGGGGGTCGGCCACCAGGTCCAAACACGTGAACGGAACCAAAAGGAGAGCTGGGGTGAAGGAAGACCCCAGCGGTGGAGAAGATGTGGGATGGGGAGAGTTGGGGGTCTCCTGCACAGACTGCCTTGTTGGCAGCTTGCTGGCTGCTGATGCCAGAGCCCTGCCTGGATCTGCCCCTGGCCTCCCAGGTACCTGCATCCTGGCCACCTCATGGTCCACCCTCTGGCTGGCCTCCTCCTGGCTCTTCTGCAGGGCTCCACAGGCCACCTCCCGGTCCCGTTCCTCCTGCTTCAGCTTCTCGGTCAGCTCAGACAACCTAGGGGCAACGGCTGCAGGTCACAGCAGCCCAGTCGGCCAGAGGCCTGATGGGGAGCCTCAGGGAGGCTGGTGGGGTCCTGGACACCAAATCCTTTTCAGGCCAGGCCTGCATCCGGGGGGCCCAGGCTGACCTAGCAGGAGGTCCAACCCTGCCCGGGTAAACACACAGAGAGGCCAGAAGCCCACTGTGTGTCTCCACCTGGGACAGAGAGAGCTAGAATCCCCGTGAGCGTAACTGATGGGGAAGGGGAAGAGGTGGGGATCCTGGGCTGGAGGGTCACCTGCCCTCCTTGATGACTCCCACACGACCCCTCGGCGGGTCCAGAGACAGCCTCCTGAGGGGCACACCTAAGGCTGGCCTCCTGCTCGGCGCCCTTCCGCTCAGAGTCCTGGAGCGCCTGCTTCCTCCTGATCTGGGTCAGGGCCTCCCGGACCTCCACCAGCCTGGCACACAAGAGCTACTTCTGCCTGGGGCCTGCCCTGCCACCTCCTGGCAGCCAGGAGCAGGCTGGGCAGCCTTTGGGGTGGGGGTTCAGCCAAGGGGCCCAGCAGCAAGCCTTCTGCCCCTTTCCCAAGCTCCACAGGCTGCCGGGCTCCAGCAACCTGACCTTCTGGAGTTGGGCTGTGGATGTGTTTGCTTACCTGAGCAAGATACCAAATTGTAGGCAAAAAAGCCAGGGGCTGATGCCCAGACTGGCCTGGCAGCAGCCGCTGCTTCCCCAAAGCCCCTCTCCCTCCTGTTAAGCCTGCTCCAAGGGTGCAGGGGTACCTCTTGTCCAGAGCCTGCATCTGGTTCTGGTTCTGCAGGTTGGGGAACTGCAAGGTGGAGGGGTGAGCTGAGTGCAGGCCAGGGGCCCTCCCAGCTCGACCAGCACGGACACGGGGGCCCACGGAGTGGGACCCGAGGCCCTGGCCTGAGCAGCAGGGGCTGAGTGGGGCTCAGGGTCCAGGAAACAGCTGCCCTGACACCCGGGGATGTCGCCTCCCAGCTGACGCATCCCACCTGGAGAGCCTCCTTCTCGGGGGCCTGAGCCGCCTGCTGAAGCCTCTTCAGCTCTGAGTCCTGCAGCTGCAAGCAGGTGTGGACCTGCAGCAGCTCCTGCAGCAGGCTCAGCGTGGTACGCTCACAGCAGACCTTGTGTCCCCGCAGCGACACCACCTCGGCCTGCAGGTCGGCCACCCTGGTGGGGTGAGGAGCGGGCTGTGTTGGCTGCGTGTGCGGGGCACTGACTACGTGGCTCCCCCGCCCCTGGTCTCTAAGGGGCTTACCAGTGCTCCAGCTGCTTCCAGTGCTTGGGGGTGTCCCGCTCTGGGACAGAAGCGGTGGACGGCAGGCAGCTGGACTCATACCTCTCCGAGCTCTCCTCCAGACTCAAGGGCTCGGAGCTGGCCAGCCCGTCCTCCAGGAGGAGTTCCAGGTCCTCCGGGGTGATGGTGCCCGGCTGGGAGGGTGGCGAGGTCCCTAACGAGAGGTTGCTGTCTGACGGCTCTACAAGAAGGTACCTTGGGGTTTGCCTTTAGAGCCAACGGGGGGAGATGCTCGCAAATGGAGCCCAGGATAACAGGGATCCAAAACCTTGCTGAGTGCGCCCACTGAGCTCACCGTGGCTCATCCCGCTGGGTCCCACAGCAAGGCCCAGCTCTCACTGTCCATGCAGGAAGCTCAGCCTCAGAAAAGTCCAGGGCCCCACCTGAGGACACACAGCATTGGGCAGCAGGAATGGGACAGTGCCTGCCTGGCCAGCTTCAGATGGAGCGCCTGGGCTCTGAGGAGAGCTGGGGGTCAGGAAGCAAAGCCGTCCCACGTGGCCCAGACCCTCGTGCAGGCTCTTGCCTGGTGGTCTTCCCAGCTCTGCTTCAACTCACCTGATATAGCTTTACCAACAGCCCTGCCTGTGGTTTTGGCCGTTGCCAAGAAGCCCTGGGCCTAGCACCCCATGGCTGCCCACAGCTGGACCCCAGGGCGGTTGCAGGAGGGGGATAGGGGAAGGCGGAGAGAGGCAGGAAAAGTCAGAGCTGAAGGCTCTGGGATCCAGGGGGAGCACGTGAGGTGTGGAGTGGTAGCTCTGCCCTCACATCTCTCCTTCCAAGACAAAACCAAGGTAGGCAGGGCAGCGGGGGCTCTTCTGGAACCTTCTTTTTCTCACCAGAACCTCCTGACTTCACAGCCCAACTGCCGGTGGAACCTGAGCCCTCAGCTTTCCCATTCCGTCAAGGCCTCCCCAACTGCCCGTTTTTAGAAGGATCTGAGCAGGTACCACTTGGCCAGCCAGCAGAGGTGGCTGCTGGCCTGACACAGGCAGGAACCCCCTGGCCTGGGCAGGAAGGGAGGGAGGCCCAGGAGCAATCACTGGCCCTCTGGTCAGAGAACCCGAGCAGGGAAGCTGGAGCCCAGGACCTGCTGAACACAGCCAGCCCAACCACCAGGCCGAGGGCACAGGGTGCCACAGGGGGACATGGCCAGAGCAGAGCCACCAAGAAAGGGTGCCGGCCACAGAGCAGTTGCACTGGTGATTTGAGCAACCTCAGTGAGAGAGACAGGTGGAGTGAATTTTATTTAACCCAGTGTAACTAAAATATCACCCCCTTAACACATAACCAACACCTGAGCAGCTGAGAACACAGTGCCTGCACTCTCCCCACACCGGGTCCTGAAGCCGGGTGCGCTGTGGCCAGTCTTGCTTCAGGCCAGCACTGACACTGAAGTGCCTCACCCCACCCAGGTGGCCCTGCTCTCTACTGTTGCCCAGACCCGCCCACGAGGGCTGTTGGGGGGCTTCCCTGTGACAAGGTCAGTGTCTCAGAGGCAACCCCTTGCCCAGGAAACCCGACGCCCCGTAGCCACACCACACACCTTGGAGCCCAGCGGGTCTGCGTGCTGACAGGGCGGCCCGTGTTTTGGGTGCACCTGAGCTTGCAGACAAGGACAGTGGCCAGGATGCAGGGAGAGGGAAAGAGTGCCTTCCCCGAGGGCTCTGCAGCGGCCCCAGGAGCAATGGGGACAAGGATGCAGTGGCCAGGGGCCTCCCTTCCATGGGCGTGGGGCGGCCCCAGGTGCTTCCCCACCTGTGGGTCTCTGAGCCTCTCGCCTGCATCTCTCTCTCGGGGGTGTCCCCGCTGGGGCACTGCCTACCTGCACCACACATGAAGGAGGGCTGCATCCTGGGTTGCCCCCCCCCCACCAGTGGGCCTGTGAATACTGGGAAACTGGACCGTGGCCCACGCTGGATGGGAACGAGAAGCCAGCACCAGTTGTCTGGGTACAATTCCTTTATTTCTCCCATTCAGATCCCCACACTTGGACCCCTGTGCCCCCCATGGAGGGCTCCCCTGCCAGGATGGAAGAGGTCTTTTGCGGCCCCATCCCCTTGAAAGAGGCTAAAAGCCAGGTGGAGTGCCCGCCAACCTACCACAAAGGAATCCACGGACCTCATCACAGAAGTGGGCTGGGGACGTGAGTCACTTTAGAAAAAAAGTCCCGTGGGGCACTGGGGACACAGGATCCCAAATCTGGCACTGCCCAGCCTGGGAGGGGTGCATCCCTGCTCTGGGCTCGCCAGCTCTTCCCAGAAACAACCTGCCCCCAACACACTGGAAGCAGAGCTGCCCCAGAACATCACTCGGGGCTGGGGGTCCTCAGGGGCCCATGGGGCCCCCGTGTGCTGAGAAGACCCGCCTTCCCTGTGCCGTCCACACGGGCGCTGTGATAGAGGCATGGCTGGACTTGGGGGTCCGGGCCCACAGGAATGTCTCAGCTCTCCCCTTTGGCCCAGACCCCGGCTCAGAGCCCACTGCACCAAGTGGGTGTGGCTTGGGGTGCACGGGTGTCTGGGAGTGCGGCTCCAGGGTCTGCTCTCCAGGTGGTCCTGCTCCCCCGAGCCCTCGCCTTCATGAGTTCAGCTTGTGTTTCTGCCCAGACCCCAAATCTCACGGCCGCAAACTGAGCTGAGGGCTGAGAGGGACAGGACCAGAGGCCTCTGCTGCAGCGAGTCGCCCAGGCCTCCAGCTGGCGGTGCTTAGGGTGCACTGCTTCCAGGCAATGGGCCCGTCCTGGGGGCTGCAGTACTCGGACCCACAGGGCCCAGCCTGCCAGCTGTCACACGTGCACACACATGCAGATACATACGCACACTTGCGGTCTCTCAGAAAAAAGAGCAGCAGTTCTACAAACTGACTCCTCGAAGTCAGGAAACAGGAGGCTGGCGTGTGAAATCTTGGAGGGTGAAGGAATGAGGTTGGGGGGGAGGGGGGCACTGAGAACACGAAGAGACCACACGTGTCACACGCTGGCTGGGCTGTCCCCGAGGTCTGGAGGACGCTGGATCCGCCGCTGCCTGGGGAGCGAGGCAGGCACCCCGGGGGAGGTGCCAGGGCCTCACGTCTGGGCCAGAGAGAGCTCCTCTAGGCCCCCCTTCCCAAGCCGGTACCTGGCGAGGTCCTTCCTGGTCACCAGCCCGACCACCTGTGGGAGCAAAGCTAGGTCATGGGATCCAGCGGCCTCTGCCTCTGTGGATGCCACTGTCCCGTGTGCGGAGGACAGCATAGTCTGGGGGAGCCCTGCGGGTAGGCAGGCAGGTTGGTAGGCTGCAGGCAGTGGGCTCCCCCCATCACCTGATTGCAGTTGTCCACCACCACCAGGTGCCTGAGGCCCAGGGCCCGAAACAGCTTGAACACCCGCGGGAGAGATGCCTCCTGCAATGCAGACGCAGCCTCAGCTCGCCCGCCGGCCCCTGCCCCACCCCGGGACAGGAGCGGGCCAGGACCTGCCGCCCCCCTGCCACACCCCCGCCTCAGCTAGCACATCCTGCTCTGTAGCCACCTCCACCCTCCTACAAAGCTCGCCCCCCACCCCTGTCTGCAATGGCCAGTGAAGCCAGAATGCCACCAGGGGTGGTGGCTGCATGAGGCTCTGGAAGTGGGGGTCAGGCCCCTGCTCCCCACCGCCCCTGCGGCACCTGGGGCACCGTGTAGGGGGAGGGGTTCATGAACTCAGAGAGGTCCATGGTGCACTCCCGCTCGTCCTGGGACACATGGATGGACTGGATGGGGGGGAAGCGCGGGTAGGCATCACGGAAGTCCTTCAGCCGCAGCCGGCGCCGTAGCAGGCCCATATAAGAGCGTTCTATGAACACCTGCGGGCGGGGGGCAGGCAGTGGGTGGCAGCGCCTCAGAGCCCAGGGCCCTGCCCGGCATCTCCTGCCACCCCCTTCTCCTGCCACCCCTGACAGCCTACCTTGTGCTTGAGCAGGACGATGAGCTGGGAGCGCAGGATTAAGCCCTGGAGCCGGGCTGGCTGCACAAGAAACAAAACACCCTTGTCTGCGGAGGACCTGGGACTTGGGACCTAGGGTCTGCCCTGCTGGCTGGTCCAGAGGGGCCAGGCAACAGCGCCGGGACGCCTGGGGGCTCCAGCCAGGGTCCCCAGCGATGCTGGCTGCCTATGGGCACTGGCCCTGCTACAGGCATTTCACCTGCACAGGCTCACGGATCCCCAAACGCCCAGGAGGGGAGGCAGGACCCCAATCACGAGGTGCTGAGAGACCATAGCATTTGTGGGGGCGAAAAGCAGACCGTGGCCCAGATGTCGCTGCACCTTCCATCAGGACCTCCTGACAGGCACAGCTGTGACTCCTCAGCTGGGGGTGCAGCTTGGGGTGTGACCACAGAACACACAGGCGCATCAGTAACTACCCAAGCTGCGGGAACAGCGCTCACATGTACCTGTCTTCACAGCCGTGTGACCAGCGGAATTCTTCCAGAAACCCCAGAGCAGGGCGTCCACATTCATGGAAACCATGGCCCCCAACACGCCCCACTCGCCAGCACAGATGATGAGCCCGGCTTCCTGAAGCTGGGTGGTACCTGCGTGCCGTCGGCATCCTCCACCACAGGGAAGCCATTATGATTGGACGCCGTGCTGCTCAGCACATCCACAATGATGCCCACCTTCTCCCTCCTCCGCAGACAGGTGACTGGTGTGCTCATCACCTCCCTGTAGAAGAGAGACGCTATGATCCACCATGGGGCAGAGGAAGCTTCCCGAACAGCTCAACATGCAGGAAGTGGCCGGACTCAGGAAACCTGGAGACAAGGTGGGCCAGGAGCGCAGACCCCGAGGTGCTGCCCTGGGGGAACCAGCCCTGCACCCACGTCCTGCTCCAGGCTGCCCCCACCAAGCCTCCCAGGGCGTCCAGCACCCGCCCCCCAGCCTGCGGGCCTGCCCCGGGGAGGGGTACCTGGCGGTGAGCGAGTGTGAGGTGACTGGGGCTTCCCAGTGCAGGAAGGGCACACTCTGCAGCTGGATGTGCATGTCGTACAGGCCCTGGGGAGAGGACGGGCACGGCCATGCAAGAGGCTGCTTGCGGGGCAGCCTCCACAGGGCCCCCTCCCTTGCGGCGGCCGAAGACCGCCAGTCTTTCTCCCAGCCTCAGGCTCCGAGGCCAGGGGCACGGGGAGGGGCTGCAGAGCGAGGGCGAGCAAGGCAGGCGGCCTCTCCCACAGGCCGCACCTCGATGAAGACATCCCCCACAATCTTGGCGGTCATCAGCACCAGCATGATGGGGAAGCCGTAGGTCACATTGCTGGTGGCCTCCATCATGATGACTGTCAGGCTCAGCGTCATCCTCACAATCCCACCTGCCAGGAGGTGGGGAGGGGAAGGGAGGGTTGGTGGGGGCACGAGCCTCTGCAGGCTGCGCCGCCGGCCCCTCCCATGTTCCCGTGCCGTGTTCCCTGTGCAGCTCCCGCTCTGTCCATGCAACCCTGTGTACCGGCCCCCCCAGATAGCACCAGATGGGGACAGTGACCCTGCCCAGCCACACGCTGGGGGAGTGGCCCTCCTGACCTCCGGACGCCCATGTTGCAGCCAGCACTCACCCAGCTGGGCAGCTGCTCCCATCAGGGCGTACTTGCCGGGGTCTGCCCAGACCTGCAGGGAAGACAGAGGGGATGCTGGGGGAAAGTGGCAGCCAAACCCACCAAGATGCACTGACAGCACTGGGCCCAGGAGGAAATACTACAGTTTACACAAAAAATGGTCTGTGGCAGCATCACCTGAGTTTGTAAATACCCTAGCTGTGCCCGCTCAGGGATGCACTGAATGAACTCTGCCACCTGCAGAACTCGGCAGCCTAAGACAGGAGGGTATGCACTATGGCCGGGGCGGGGGGGCGGGGGCACCCCGCGTGTGTGCAGTGACCGGAGTCCGTGGACAAATGCCTGCGCCACACCAGGGAGCCTAAAAAGGAGTGAAAATCGGACTCGTGCTACAACATGGATGAGCCCTGAAAACATGGTGCTCAATGATGAGGCCAGACACAGAAGGCCATGAAGCGTGATTTCGTGAATCTACAACAATCAGAAGAGGCACATCCATGGAGGCAGAAAGCTGATTAGTGGCCACCAGGGGCTGAGGAAGGGGGACACAGATGTGATTGCTTAATGGGGACAGGTTTCTTTTTGGAGTGATGAGAACATCCTGGAACTAAGCAGCGATCACGGTTACACAGCTCTGTGAACAGGCTAAAGAGCCACCCAACCGTTCACTTACAGAAGGAGAGAGTTTATGGCAGGGGTCCCCAACCTCCGGGCCATGGACTGGACCGCACAGCAGGAGGTGGGCGGTGGGCAAGCGAGTGAAGCTTCATCTGCTGCTCCCCACTGCTCGCATTACTGCCTGAACCATCCCCCCACCCCCGTCCACAGAACACTGTCTTCCACGAAACCGGTCCCTGGTGCCAAAAAAGGTTGGGGACCACTGGTTTATGGTACGTGAGTTACGTACCAATTAAAAAAAAACAAAATTAAACTAAAAACCGTGTCTGGAAGGAAACCTGGGACACATGACCTGGACCCAGTGAAGGGAGGCTTGCTGTGCGTCTCTTACAGTTTTTGTTTTTTTTTTGCGGTACGCGGGCCTCTCACTGTTGGGGCCTCTCCCGTTGCGGAGCACAGGCTCCGGACGCACAGGCTCAGCGGCCGTGGCTCATGGGCCCAGCCGCTCCGCGGCATGTGGGATCCTCCCGAACCGGGGCACAAACCCGCGTCCCCTGCATTGGCAGGCGGACTCTCAACCACTGCGCCACCAGGGAAGCCCCTCTTACAGTTTTTTAAAGTCTTACTTGAACAACTAAGATGCAAATAGAAGACTCACAGAATAAAGACCAAGGAGCCTACGGAGGCAGGTGGGAGGAAGAAGCCAGAAGGCAGCTGCGGGGCCAAGGCCTGGACACCGCACTCCCAGGCCCCAACTCCTGCACCTGCCCCCATCCTTCTACACCACGCTCTCTCCCAACACCCATGCCCTCCCTGAAGGCCACACGCACGCATGACCCCTGCTCTGGCCCACGGTGGCCCTAGTGGGCACCGGGAACACCGTCCCTTCCTCCCAGCCCAGCCGGCCCCTAAGACCCCCACTCACCGCGGCCCCGGTGAGGTAGGACAGGGAGATGCCAAAGAGCCGGCCCCAGGCAGCTCCGATGAGCAGGGATGGGATGAAGACACCGGCCGACACCGTGAGCCCGTAGGTCCAGCAGGCCAAGAAGAAGTAGACCAGGGTGAAGAGGCCGAGCGTCATGGGGTTGTAGGAACCTGCAGACAGGGCGCTGGCCAGGGCTTGCCACACGGACTCAACCCCAGGCGGAGCTGCCTGCCCAGCAGCCCGTCAGAGCCTCCTGGTCACACCCAGACCCCCAGAGTCACCCCCTTCTCAGAGGCCAGGGTGCCGGGTCTTGGGGGCCCAACACTCAGAGTGTGAGCACGGCAGCCCAGCGGGCAGGGCAGAGGGGAGCTGGGGCCACCGGGGCCCAGAGCTGCCAGCAGGATGGTGACCTGGGCCAAGGGAAGGTGGCTGCTGAGGTCTGCATGGAAAAGGGTGGCACTGAGACCACCAGGGGTCAGGGGAGGGTGCAGGAGGGAGGCCATGGCCGCCACGGCCACTACCCTGCACCAGATGACTCCAAAAGTGGGAAGATGTCACACAAACCCCAGAGCCAGCACCCCCAGGGGGCCTGTATGGCCCGCTCAGCATCTTTGGGGGCTCGGCCTCCCCCACGTTTAAAAGCCTTTCTGCTAAATTGCGTGAACTCCCACAGCGCGCGTGCGCACACACACGCACGCATGCGCGTGCACAAATGTGAGAACCAGGGAGTTCCCAGAACTGGTATGTCAGGAAACAACTAGAGCCACAGACAGACGGGCAAGCACGTCGCAGCAGCCACTCTGGATCTCGGGGGTGTGCCCCTCCTCCCCGCCCCCACCCCGCGGAACCGAAAACAGGGGAAGTGGAAGCAGGTCTGTGCCCAGTCTGAGCCTGTTTGTTATTAAGAACATGAAGCTGGGCAAGGCACCTCGCTGGTATACGAGTCACCAGGCTGTTTTCTGACTGAGAGTGACCTCTGCGAGCAGCGCCCAGAAGAAAAACTCATCCTGGGAGGTGAGACTGTCTTAATGAATGACAGGACGGCCTCCAGGGAGGGAAGGAGACACGTGGGGAGCTTGGCTGGGCCCCTCCCAAGCACTGGCCACCAGCCAACCCCAGGCTGCCAGCCCCCACGCTCCAGTGCACTCAGCCCTGCAGGGAGGCAGTGGGGGCTCGGCCAGAAGCCATCAGCCAGGCCTGGGCCCAGTGTCTGTGGGCCGGCTGCAGACCAGGCCAGAGGGAACAGGCCCACATGGGGACCTGCGTCTGACAGCAGAGTGCAGAGCATGGGCACACACCTGGGGGGTCGTGGAAAAGGCTGACCACGCTCTTCTCTGGGGTGTTGAAGAAGGCTGCAGCCATCGAATTATACTCGCCATCGGCACAGAACAGCTGCAAAGTCAGGAAAGAGAACAGGCCAGTGGGACACAGTGTCCTGGCCTGGACAGCATCAGGCACCAAGCACACAACAGGCGGGTCAGGCTGCTGTCTTGGAGGGGAGGCAGGACCCAAGAGCCAGACCCTGGCCCAGTGAGGGCTTCAGAAGCCATCTGGCCAGGCAGGGGCTGCATGGCGAGTCTGTCCCTGGGGTACGTGGGGATCCAAAGGCTCACGTTTGGAGCACGCTCCCACAGTTCACTGGGCAGACTGTGGGTCCCTGCAGGCCTTGACAAGGGCAGGGGCTCCATGCAAAGCTGTGTGGGTTAACCCCACAGCCCCACCAGAGCCAGCCATGCACCCCAGACCCACATCTGTGACAAGCCTGTGAGTACACACTCCACACCCACCGGCAACCAGCAACCGCTTTCGGTTCTGGATGTTTCCCATAAACAGAAACCACACGATGTGTGGCCCTTGCTGTCTGGCTTCTTTCACTCAGCAGTGTTTGCCAGGTTCATCTGTGTGGGAGCACGTGTCAGAGCTCCAACCCTTCCTACAACTGAGGAAACCCACTGTGTGGACGGACCAGGCCGTGTTCACCTGCTCGTCACTGACGGGCACAGGGGCTGCGGGGAGTTGTGCCGCGGTGAGCGTGTGCACGCGAGTTTCCGCCTGCAGGCCCACAACCCCACCTCCACAGTCCCCTTGCAGAACCTGTCAGGCCGCTGCTCTGAGAGGACCGGGGTGAGACCCCAGGCCGACGTGGCACCCACCCATGTCTGGGAAGGCTCACCCTGCCCCTGCCCCGGCCGCCTACCTGGAGTGGATAGGACACGGAGCTCCCCTGCAGGGGCTGGCAATCCCGGGACGAATAAATCAGCACGAAGGCAACCGTGGCCGTGACGGCGGCCACCAGCATGGCCTCGATCACCTGAAGGCAGGGCCGGTGGATGTACCTGGAGCAAAGAGCCGGGGTGGACTGAGCTGTGGGATGGCTGGGGCGGCAGCCAGGGCAACCTGAGCTTGCAACTCGGGAGAGCCGTCCAGGATGCTGAGCTCATCTGATGACCAACCCGCCCTGGCTCCTGAACACTCTCAGGCTGCCTCCCGGATGCTCCCCAACCTCATTTTATGTTAGTGCAAAAAGACAAGAAAGAAGAATGCCAAGACCCACCCCTACGGCTTCAGAAAACCAGAAAGCTCTCATGATGGCTCTCCTAACAGCAGAGGACCTGTGTTGGACCAAACGTGCCCAAGTCAGGACGGCCCCGTACAAACCGCGCTGGCGCTGACATGAGAGGCCCAGAAGAGCATCAACCCAGGGCCGCGCCGGATCCATGGGCTGTGCCTTCCCTGCCAGGGGCCACCCTCCAGGCCCCACCCGTCCCCCTGCCGAGTGGGTCTGTCTCCTCAGGTACAAACCACCGTGGAGGAGTGTGCTTGGCACGTGGCTTCCCCACGGACCCGTGGGCAAGAGCCCATGACCGGTCAGTTTTCAGATGCCCTGTGTGGCCACACCTCTCAACTCAGTCCCTGAACAGGTTTCTCACCTGATTCGAAACATCGTCAACCAGTAATTCAAGGCGTTGAACACAGCTCCGAGAATGCCACCTGGGACAAGGAAGGAGCTGCGTGTCCGGGACTCGGGAAGAGAAGCAGGCTGCCCAGGCAGCAAACGCCCACTGGGTGGAGGGCTCACATCCCACGGGCTTTCAGAGTAAGGAGTGTTGCCCAGGTCCGTCTGCTTCCCAGGGGGCTGTCATCAGCCAGAGTGCAGCTCCAGTCCTCCCAGGGTCGGGCTCCCTCCCCACTGCCCCGGGCGGTCCTGGGACAGCCAGCAGGGGTGGAGACCACGTGCTTCTCTGGCCCTCGAAGCCGGGTCAGGCCTGGAGCCCCGCAGGCCCTGTCCCCACTGGTCGGCGCTGTCCCACGCGGGGACGGCCCTTACCCACCACGCCCATGGCGATGAAGATGGGGATCTCATGGATTGTGTACACCATCGTCTGTGCAGAGGGAGGAAGAGGAGACCTTCTGTGAGGAAAACTGCCACCAGCTCCTGCTCAGACTTGGGATCGGACGTTTCACAGGACACACCTGTGCACGGGAACCCTGGTGCTTTCCTGCAGGGCGAGGAGGCCCCCAGAGAGAAAGGCCGGGTGCTTGGGCAGACCGCCTGCCTTCTCACACGGCGGCTCTGGGGGGCCGCCTGAGCTTTTGCCAAAGGGTAAGTGAGGGCCATGAGCAAGGGAGAGGATGCTGGTGACCTAGTCACCCAGGACCTCTGACGCATCCACGGGTGAGGACCAGCCCCTGAGAGGCTCCCTGGGCTCAGTGATGGCAGTGTGCAGCGCAGGCCGCTCCAGAAATGCTGCCTGCACCTCTCGGCCTCCAGAAACTGCTGCAGGAGCGCTGGCCACCAGTCTAGTGATGTTGCCTGACAGTCTGCAGGCACCTGAGCCACTCCTGAAGTGCCCGCTGGCTGACGGGCGCCACAACCTGTGTGGCCGGGTCACGTGCACCCTCCTGGAGCACCTCCAGCTCCAGGTGCTCACAAACAAGGGCCCTATCCCACGGCTAACAGCTAGACCTTTCCAGAAGCCCAGCTCTCAGGCCGAACCTTGAGTAAACAACCTGGGCCCTGCTCATAGAAAGAACCAGAGAAAAAAGGGAACGATGCAGTGGGTTACCTCAGTGTCAAATCTTCCAAAATTGATGAGACCGGGGCTGGACAGATCCCACACGTTTCCATGGTAAATGCTTAAGACGAAATTCAGGGTGAAGGTGGAAATCATGGAAGCAAAGAACTGCAGGCAGAAAAAGACGAGTGCCGTCAGAGCCATAGTGGTGAGTTGCGGCAGTGTGTACAGCGGCTGAGCCCAGGGCCAGAGGGTGAGGAGGGGCTGCAGCAAAAGGGCTGTCTCCCCTCCTGTCACCTGGGTGGTGCCTAGACCCTCCGAAGGCTGAGGGAAGGTGGCTCGGAGCCCCACTGGCTCGGCCAGGGTAAGAACGTGTGCGGGGCCTGGGGTCCCGATGAGGACGGAGGAGAAACAGGCCTACGGCTCAGGGATCCACCAGCTGGACGGGAAGCTCAGGTGCAGACCCCACAGTGTGGGCCAAGAGCCATGCGTCCACCCAGCCATGAAGGCCCAGTGCCAGGGCTGCCCAAACTCGGGAAGGTGGCCGTCCCAGGCACTTACGATTCTCCATGTCAGGAACTGATTCCAGAAGGATGCACCCTCCTCCAAGCTGAACAGGACCCCACCTGGAACAGCCAGTGGCCCAGCCCTGAAGTGCCCGCCGAGCCACAGACAGCCCCTCACCCACTGCCACCCATGCCCCCAGACCCCAGGACACCAAGCCCACGACAGAGGCAGCCATCGGGGCCTCTTGAGAAGCCCACCCCACACCCTCACCAGGCACTGAGTCCAGAAACCCCAAACCACCCCTCTCACAGCAGGGAGAGCCTGGCTCCCCCTACACGGGCGGTCACCAAGCTCTCAGACCAGGCAGGGCCGCCCTCCTCACCTACAGGGGCCCCAAACGCAGCAGACACTCCGGCCGCAGCTCCTGCTGAGACAAAGTCCCGTTTCTCTGTGTCTCTGCGGAAGTACTCAAAGATCTGAACCAAGACAGACGGAGAGAGGGTCTCAGCCAGTGCCTCCAAGGGCACTTCTCTCAGAAAGGGGGGAGGTGGGCCCAAAAGCGAGGGGGGAGGGGAGGGAGGAATGTGGGGAGGCCTCTGGACAAGCCACTCATCAACCACGGGGCTCACAACCCGCAGGACTGAAGAGTTGGGTCTCGGGCAGCTTGCCTGCCCACCAACATCCAGAGAAAATAACCCATTCAGCAATATTTAAACACTGAGGTTTGTGCAAGAAAGACCAGAACTGAGCACCAGCAGCCCACACACATGACCTTCCCGACCTCTCTAGGCCACACATTCCTGTGAGCTTACAGCTACAGGTCATTTCCTTGCAGAAATGCACACTCATCCAGAGCACCAAGGCAACAGGATGCCCCCATGGACAGGATGCTAGGGATCCTCAGAGGCGAAGGGAAGGAGGCTGCAGGGGAGGCAGGGGCCCAGCCCTGGGGGTATGGACGTGGGCGCAGGGAAGACCCACCTTGAAATCCCGCTTCAGTGATGTGGACCTCCCCTGGGAGACCCCAGCAGCAATCACGGAGCCCGAATGGATCATTGGTCCCTCCTGGAAGGCACAAACGGCTGCGTTCAGATGGGCGTGGCTCCGGGGCGGGGACACACCGGCCCCAGGCCCCACGGGTGCAGAGGGACTCAGGCAGGGGTAGCTGCACTCTGTTACCTTCCCCACAGCCAGTCCCCCAACCACGGACAGGATCACGCCGGACACTTTGATCACCAGCGTCTGGAACACAAAGGAAATTGCACCAAGTCTGATTAAAGGCCACACGTGGTCCAAGAACCTGAGCGACAAACTACACACGGGAAGGGACCTAATCATGTGAGCCCTCGGCAGGCATGAGCACCAAAGAAGGGGCCGGCACCCACGGCGGGCGTCCTGGGGGAGGGGGAGCTGGCAGCTGATGCTCTCCTGACGCCCATCTCTTCAGCCCTTCTGTCCCAGGTGGTCATGTACACACAGAAGACACGCAAACAGCAGCTATCGCTCCGTCCTCGGGCTCCGGGCTCCAGGCTCCTGCACCCGCACCTACCTCGGGCCCTGCCCTCCTGCTGCAGGGCACGGAGCACAGGCACCCCCACCCCTCCTGTCCGCTCCCCGGAGTACCTCCTCCCCAGACAGAGCAGGAGAGACGCTGCCAGCAAACCCCAGACCAAGGCACACCAGCTGCACACCCTGAAATGATCACGGGAGGAAACCTGACCTCCCAACCCCCTTGGAATCAGTGTATTACCCAGAAGATCATGCACAATGAGATTAAGGAAAATTCTGAAAAAAGGAAAAAACTCACCACTCAACACAGCTACTCTCATTCTGAAATACTAACCACCGTATGGAACTTAAAATGTCTACGTGGTTGCAATTGTGACAGATGTACCTTCAAGTATTTTTGCGTCATTCAGAATGTACGACAGTTTTACCATTTTCCAAAGAAAGTTCACATAAAACCTGCCAGCACACCCACACGCAGGCTCGTCAGCAGCAAACAGCACAGGTCTGGGCGAGTTTTGGAGGCGGAGGTGGACAAATGACACACTTCTCACCCAGCAAGGAAGCCCCTTGGGCTAAGCCCTGAGCTCCCGGCGGGGCCGCCTCAGGTCTCACCTTGAGCCGGACCACGTGGGGGATCTTCACCCCGTTGAGGAAGCACTTGATCTGGGGGATCCCGCTGCCAGCAGCGACTGGCTGGAAGGAGGGGCGCCAGCACTGAGTCCGCAGGCCGAGTGAGCCGCCACTGCCGCCGCCACCACCACCATCAGGCCCAGGAAGACGCGCCACGCAGTGCCCAGGTCGCCCAGGGTAGCGGCTTCTCGCCTCTCCCCACTGATACACAGAGCAACCACCAAGGGGAGGAAATGCCTCGGGCATGGGAAGGCTCAGTGTCCCCAAGGCAGGCGGGGGTGCCCAGGATGATGGGAGGCCCACGTCACACACCCGCTGAGCGGCCAGCACTGTTGCACCCTCTGGGGGACACTGCACTGCACCCCAGACAGAAGCTCCTGGACGCTGCCCCTTCTTCCTTCCAACGCCCCGAGGGAAAAGCAAGGGGGCACAGGAAGGAAGGGTGCCCCAGGAGCGTCTGACCCCTCGGGTGGGTCCCTCCACCCGGACCCCTGGGCTGGGCGCTGCCTCTTCTCCCTGCTGCGTGAAGTGGGCGAGGGAGTGTGCGGGTGGATGGGCACGGCCGCCAAACCAGGGTTGGAAGGCCCAGGTGGTCTTCGTTTTGGCTGAACCGCCTGATGCCTAGCAAGGATTCCACTACAGTCTAGCCAGTGAGTCTCACCGGAAGACGCTGCGGGGGGTTGGGGTGGGGAGCGGTGGAGGGGCCCACCTACCTCTATGAAGGCGACGATCACAGAGCCCAGGAGCACAAAGGCCACATTGAGCGAGGCCCACAGCAGGAGGGAGAAGGACAGCCCGCCCCGCGCCGTGAACTTGTCAATGTCTGGGCTTGTCAAGGACCACGCGGGGTGGTGTCACCCAGGCGCCACTCCCCAGTGGGCTGCACTCTGGACTCTGGGACCTGGAGCACTTACTGGGCATCTCAGGGTCACCACAAAGCCTGACCCCCAGACATGCAGCCCCCGTCCAGTCACGTCCCCCGGCCAATGGCATAACACAGGTGGGGGCTCCTCCTGTGGACCCGCTGGCTCTGGGCAACCACAGACAAAGGATACTGTCCTTGACGACCCGGTACTTTAGGCCGGCCAGCTTCTCCACCACGATGTCGATGAAGCAGGCCACAAGGCCCGTGAGGATCCCGATCATGGCACAGATGACCCAGCGCTTTATCTCCACGGTCCGGAAGGCCTGCGGCAGCGGGCATGAAGGGGGGCGCTGTCACAGGAGGGTGCAGAGGCGGGACGTCCCGTCGTGGCCGGCTCTAGTGACTGCCACCACGCACAGGGCTGCCTTCAGAACCCTGAGTCCCAGGAAGAGCAGCCCCACCGACATCTCAGAGGCCGTGGAGCACTGGTGGGACAGAACTCCCCAACCCGGTCATAACTGGATGCTGACGCTCCAGCCGCCACAGCCGCCACCCCTAAGAACAGCTTCCTCAGTGGTAATGATGTGACACCCGCACAGGTCTCTGTGCCGGGCAGCGGCCAGCGCTCACTCCGGGACACCAGCTGGAGCCAAGAGGGGAGGGAGGTGGTGGGGACACCGTGGCCATGAGGCCCAGCTGCCCGCCAGACTCACTGTGTGATTGATGCGCCGCTCCTCCTCCAGGAACAGCTGGTTCTCGCTGTTGTCATAGTCCAAGCTCTGCGGACCGGGCAGTAGAAACACTAGTAACTGACCCCAGCTCGCAGGTTCAGGTGGGCCACCGCGGGAGAGGGCAGGGAGCAGGGGGGCCCACCTCATACTTGAGGGACAGAAGCTTCTCGTTGTGCGGGATCTCCTTGGGGAAGGGGTGAAGGGGGTCCATGTCCTGCGGGAGGAAGAGGCAGAGCTTGACAACCCAGCATAGGTAAGAACGAAGCAGAACGAGGAAAGGGCCATGCTCACTTGTCCCGCAGGGCAGGGACTCTCCTGAGCCCAAAGCTAGACAAGCACAAGGCAGGAACTGGCAGACACAGACTCTCCACAGGACACCAGCAGGCAAGGTCCCACAACACCACAGCCAGGCGGGTTTATCCCAGGAACACAAGGTGAGTTGACCCCCAAAAAGCAATTAGTGTGGTGGGTTGACCCCCAAAAAGCAATTAGTGTAAGATGTCTGTGGTCCACGTCCAGGTTCTGGCACCAGCCTCTGACCCACCCGCTTGGCATCTCTGGGTGACGAGTGTGTCTGGGCTGGGGCTGGAAGACCATCACAGGATTAGCGGGCTGGAGACACAAGCAGCTCATCTCTAACGGCCAAGGATTTAATTAGTCCTGCCTGTGTAATGCAGCCTCCACACAAACCCCAAATGGAGGGGTTCAGGGAGATTGCAGCTGGTGAATGTGGAGGTGCTGGGAAGGTGGCTCCTAGGGAGAACGTGGGGGCTCTGCACCCCTTCCCACACCTTCCCGGGGCATCTCTCCCACCTGGTTGTTCTCAAGTCATGTCCTTTATGATAAACCAGTAACATAAGCTAAGTGTTCCCTGAGTTCTGCAAGCCATTCTGGCAAGTTATGGAACCCGAGGAGGAGGCGTGGGAACCCCGATTTACAGCTGGTCAGTCAGAAGCACAGGTGACAGCCTGGACTTGTCACTGGCATCTGAGGTCGGGGGGTCTCGTGGGACTGAGCCCTCAGCCTGTGGGTCTGCACGGATGCCGGGAAGTTAGGGTCTGAACAAACTGACCTGCAGGACACTCAGGTGGTGTCTGGACAATCAGAGGGTGAGTTGGTATGAAAGTAAAAACAGTTTGATACTGTTCCAATAGAATAAAGGACCAAGTCCACATGAAATGAACACCTCAGTAGTCACAAAAAGCATCTGACAAAACTCAACCCTTCGTGATAAAAACACTCAATAAACCAGGAATAAAGGGAACTTCCTCAACCTGATCAAGACACCTATAAAAAACCCACAGGTGGGCTTCCCTGGTGGCGCAGTGGTTGAGAGTCTGCCTGCCGATGCAGGGGACGTGGGTTCATGCCCCGGTCCGGGGAGATCCCACATGCCGCGGAGCGGCTGGACCCGTGAGCCATGGCCACTGAGCCTGCACGTCCGGAGCCTGTGCTCCGCAACAGGAGAGGCCACAACAGTGAGAGGCCTGTGTACCGCAAAAAAAAAAAAACAAAGAAAAAACCCACAGGTAACTTCATGCTCAGTGGTGAAAGACTGAAGCTCTTCCTCTGAGATCAGGAACAAGACGAGGATGCCTGCTCTGGCATTTCTACTCAGCACTGTCCTTGTCCAATTAGGCAAGAGAGAAAAGTGAAAAGCATCCAGATTAGAAAGGAAGTGAAACTCTTCTTTGCAGATGACATGGTCTTATGTGTAGAAAATCCCCAAAAGTACACTAGAAACAATTAGTATTAATAACACATTTAGTAAGATTGAAGAATATAAAATCAGTATACAAAATCAAATGCATTTCTACGTACTTGCAATGAACGATCCAAAATGAAATTGAGAAAACAACTCTATTTACAATAGCATAAAAAGATACAGAAAATAAACTTATTCCTAAAACACGTTTAACAAAAGAAGTGTAAGACTTGTACACCAAGAGTTGCAAAATATTGTTGAAAAAAACTGAAGACGTTAATAAATGGAAAGCTATACTGTGGCTCGGGACATTTGATGTTAAGAGTCAATGCCACCTCTAAGTTCCAGCTGGCATTTCTGAAGAAACTGACAAACTGAGCCTAAACCCCACACGGAGATACACAAGGGATCCCGAAAGGCCAACACCTCCTTGAGAAAGAAAAACGATGTGGGATGATTCAAAGTTCCTACTTTTGAAACTTACTACAAAGCTAGTCATCAGCAGAGTGTGGCCCGGGCGCAAGGACAGAGAGCCCAGAAACAAATCCGTAATGCAGACCCAATGCAGCCAAAAATAAATAAATAAATTTTTAAAAAGTGAAAAAAACCCCACAAAAACTGACCTTCAACAATGGTGCTGAGACAATTCAACAGGGAAAGAGTAGTTTTCTCAAGAAATGGTGCTGGGAAAACTGAGCATCCATATGCAAAAGAATGAATTTGGACCCTTATCTCATACCATGTACAAAATTAGCAAAAAACAGATCAAAGATCTAAACTACAGAACTCTTATAAGAAAAGACGAGCAAATCTTTGTAACCTTGGCTTAGGTGATGGTTTCTTAGACATGACACCCAAAGCACAAGCAACAGAAAACAGATCAAATGGACTTCATCAAAATTAAAAGCTTTTGTGCTTCCAAGGACACTGGCAGAAAGTGAGACCACCTATGGACCAAGCGGAAGTTTTTGCAAATCCTGTAACTGATGAGCAACTTGTGTTTAAAGTATATGAAGACCTCTTACAGCTTCATTATAAAAACACAACCTGATTAAGAAACGTGCACAGGGTCTGAACAGAGTTCCTCCAGAAGACATGAAGGACACACGGTACCAGCAGCCTCAGGGAAATGCAAGTCAGAACCATGAGCCACCTCCAAGGAGGAAGTCAAGTGCAAGTCTGGGGGAGGGGGTTTCGGGAAATGCTCCCCTGGCAGCTGCTGGACAGTTCGACCCCAGCACAGGGGCAGGAGAAGTGGACATCACCCATCCAAGGGCCCACCACCCCGAGACGCCCTCCTGCAGGCCCCACACCTGCCCACGGCACCTGCCCCCCAGCTCGCACACAGCAGCTAGCTCAACGGTCCTGGCCTGACATGTACTCCCCAACCTCTGCTCATCGGGCAGCCTCAGGGGACAGGGCCCCGCAGAGCAGCCTTCCCTGGTCGCCCAGACTCTGCAGACCCCACTGTCTGCACGTCACTCTGTCCCCATGCTCTGCACAGAACCGCCAATGTCTGCCATCCTCTTGTTCAGGTTTTCCGTCTGCCCTCTGCTAGGCTGTGGCTCCACAAGAGCAGGCCTGACTTTCCCAGGAAGGGGCCTGGCATGAGCAGGAGCTCCAAAAATGGGAAAGGACGACCACTCACAGGGTCCAGAAGCTCATCATCCAGTTCCACGTTGCTCATCTGTCCGATCCGGAAAAATGCTGAATGGGGTGACTAGAAGCAGAAGAGAAATCATAGGCCGCTTAGCTATGGGGCCGGGCTGCACTGTGCACTACCCCATTGCCTGGCCCTGCACTGTGCACTACCCCATTGCCTGGCCCTGCCTGTGGAGCACAGAGCCGCACCTGCCGTGTGGGAGACTCCAGCAGGGCCAGTGCTGGACCCCAGGCCCATCCCCATGACCCACAGCCTGTCACTGAGGAGCCCAACCTCCAGATGGGAAGCCCCACCCTCCCCCATTCTACAGTGTCCTCCTGGCCACCCTCCTTCCCTGGCCTGGAAAACCCTGGTGATTGAGGGCCCCTCCTCCAGGAGCCTTTCTATCCCCCCACCTCCAAACCCCATCTTTCTCTGTTCAGCCCCATCATGACACTGAGTGGCTACCAGGTGGGGACCCATCACAGGCCTCCAGGCAGGCCCCCCCAGATATGTGCCCCTTTCCGGGGCAGGACCTTTCTGAAGCGGGGCTGCACTCCTGGGCACAGGGGCAGGTCAACCACAGAGGACGGACACCCCGGCACATGACTGCCCTCACGCCCACTGCCAGGCACGGTGGAGGCCAGGACTAGGGAACAAAACACAGGCTGCTCACAGATGCATTTCAGAGAAACAAGTCATGCTGCAGGACACAAACACTGTGTGGAACATATGGCATAAAAACACAACCCGAGGCTTCCCTGGTGGCGCAGTGGTTGAGAGTCTGCCTGCCGATGTAGGGGACGTGGGTTCGTGCCCCGGTCTGGGAGGATCCCACATGCCACGGAGCGGCTGGGCCCGTGAGCCATGGTCGCTGAGCCTGCGCGTTCGGAGCCTGTGCTCCACAATGGGAGAGGCCACAACAGTGAGAGGCCCGCGTACCACAAAAAAAACAAAAAAACAAACAAACAAAAAACACAACCCGGTGCTCCTCTGAAACGCAGCCAGGCGCCCTGCCCTGCCTCTTCTCTGGCGGAAACCACGAAGCAGTGCAGGAACAAGGACCACAGAGCCCGCCATGCCAGAGCCCTGAGCACACAGTGACTCCAGCAGAGAAAGTTTAATTCAGCAGCACTAGCCCTACTGCTACTGGTGGTTACCAGAGGGTAGGGGGGACGAGGGGGCTTTGGGGACACTGGTGACTCCTCTGGGGGATGTCGAGCCTCCTGGGGCTGCTGTGCCCAATCACACAGCCTAGGCGTCTGAAAAACAAGAAACGTGTTCTCTCCAAGCTCTTGCACCACAAGTCCAAACTTGAGGTGTCAACAGGGAGGGCCCCCTCTCAGGGTCGTGTGGAGGATCTTCCAGCCTCTGATGGATGCCGGCAATCCTTAGTGTTCATTCCCTGGCTTGTGGCCACATCACTCCAATCTCTGCTCCGTTGCCACCGGCCTCATGTGTGCGTGTATACATGCACGCATGTCTCTCCTCTCCCATGAGGACACCAGCCTGACCACATCGTAACTTGACCACAGCTGCAAAGGTCTCAGACACGGGTTCCAGGTCAGGGGTGGAGACATTCCGGGGGGCACTGCACACCCCACGGCAGGTGGTAACTTGTCAGGTGTGTTCACTAGATCATCATCCTGCTCCACCGTGTGACTGCACTTTTCTCTACGTATATACAGCAAACGTCGGTACAATGGGTGGGTGAGGAGAGAAATATAGCCATTTTCTTTCTTAAAAACAATCGACAATGCCCCCAAACTGCTGAATCTGATGAGAAAGGCAGGGCGGGCCCTCCAGCTCCAAGCACGGGCAGGAATGCCTGGCCCGCTGGCCCAGAAAGGATCCCAGTTCCAGAGTGAACTCAACCCAGGAGGGGGCCCAGAGCTGCAGCCTCTGCTCCCTATGCATATACGAGTCATCAGGAAAGGTGTGCCAGTCGCCAGCCCGTCCACAGCAACACGGAACAGGGACGTCTCCACGGAGAAGACGGCGTGCAAAGACAGGCAGAACTGAAAGTTGGACTGTGAAAACAGAAGACCCATCTGCCGTCCAACCCAAGACGGAGGCCACAGACCAGGTGGTCTGGCCGTTTGTACCTCACTCTTCACTGATGGACTGCACCCCATGATCACTCCCACCACACCAAGTCAGCCCCTGCAGAGCAGCGCCTCTGCCACCTAAACAGTCCCCAAGGCTGAGGCTGCAACCGCGCACACGGCTGGGGGAGAGGGGGGCAGAACGGTCCACATGGCACGGACTCACTCGCTCAGGTGACAACGGGTCCTCAGCACCCGGCCGGGAGGACGCCAGGTGAGCACACATCTGCACCAGACAGCTCCATTCTGGACCCGGAAATGCGCTCATGCGGAGATGGCGCCCCCATTACAACTCCCAGGCACACCCTCTCCCACCTCCAGCACCTTCCTGGTTTCATCACCTCTTTTCTGAACTTTATGGGCATCTCTTAGGAAATATCTTTTGTGATGAAAGAAGCCATTTACTGGAAGTTCAGTGATTCATCTGTTCTGTCTGTTCCTTTCTCATTTCTTAAATGCAAGTTAATTACTAGCAGTTCCTCAAACTATTGAAACACACAACAGCCTGGATGAAATCTCCATGCTTTCGAAAGAACTGAAAGATTTCAGACCATGTGGCTCCAGAGACTGGATGTGCTCGAAAGGTCAGACCCGGAGGGAGGACAGATTTGGGGGGGGAGGGGGTGACTGTAAGAGGTAGGACAACGGCACTGATGGACGTGCTCACACACATCCACACGTGTGACAATGGCAGGGTGCTACTCACACACATTGTGCCAACATCAATGCCGGGTTCGGCACAGTACTACCGTGAGGTAAGACGGAACCATCTTGGGAAACTGGAGGAAGGCACACAGGCCCTCTCTGTACTGTCTTTTCAACTTCCCGTAAGTCTACAATTATTTTAAAATTTAAACGCAAATGATACTACATCAAAGTGAAGAACTTCTGGGCTTCCCTGGTGGCGCAGTGGTTGGGAGTCCGCCTGCCGATGCAGGGGACGCGGGTTCGTGCCCCGGTCGGGGAGGATCCCACATGCCGCGGAGAAGCTGGGCCTGTAAGCCATGGCCGCTGGGCCTGCACGTCCGGAGCCTGTGCTCCGCAACGGGAGAGGCCAAAACAGTGAGAGGCCCGCGTACCGCAAAAAAAATTTAAAAAAAAAGTGAAGAACTTCTGTGTACCAAAGGAAACAACAGAGTGAAAAGGAACTAGCCCTACAGGATGGGAGAAAATTACAGATCATGTAACCGATAACGGTTAATATCCAGAATACGTAAAGAACCCCTACAACCCAACAACAACGAACAAGCTGATTAAAAAAACAGGCCAAAGACTTGGGACATGAAGATCAAAACCACAATGGGATACCACCTCACAGCTGTGAGGATGGCCAGGGTTAAAAAACAGAACAACAAGCACTGGTGAAGATGTGCAGAAACAGGAACCCTTGTGCACAGTTGCTGGGAGTGTTATATGGAGCAGCTGCTGTGGAAAACAGTATGGCGGTTCCTCAAAAAATTAAAAATAGAAATTACCTTATGATCCAGCAATTCCACCTCTTGCTATCTACCCAAATGAACTGAAAGCAGGGTCTCAAAGAGGTATTTGTACACCCACATGCACAGCAGCATTTTTACAGTAGCCAAGGGGTGGACGGAGCCCAAATGCCCATCGACAGATGAATGTATAAACCTAAGGTGGTCCATCCACACAATGGAATATTATTCAGCCTTAAAAACAGGGAAATCCTGTCACATGCTACAGCATGGATGAACCTGGAGGACGTTGTACTAACAGAAAGAAGCCAGTCAACAAAAAAACAAATACCCTATGATACCACTGCTATGAGACGTCAAATTCACAGAAACAGAAAGCAGAATGGCCTTTGCCAAGGGCTGGGGGAGGGGTGGGGAGTCAGTGTTTACTGGGACAGAGGTTCAGTGTGAGAGGATGAGAAAGTTCTGGAGGTGCTGGGGTGATGGCGGCACGACACTGTGGATGGACCTCATGCTGCCAGACTGTACACTTAGACATGGTTAGGATGGTAAATTGTGTTATGTGCTTTTACCATCATTAAAACAAAGTTCACAGACAATTTAAAGGCCGCCTGCCGCCCACTCTGCCACTTTGCATTTTAACCGCCCCTCCCAGCCCAATGCCCCCCAGCACTGAGGGCACAGGGCCTCCGTAGCCAGGGGCTTACAGTCAGAAAAACCAAGCTGCCCATAAACAAAAGTCAGTGTAAACCGTGAGAAAGGCTTTGAGGGCGATGACAGAGCCTGAGGGAGAGGCCTGCCCGATTCGGGGTTGGGGAGGCGCATTAGGCTGAGACCTGATGAATGATGTGCAGAGGGGGCCGGATGGGAACAGCCCCGCTGCTGCACCTCACTTTCTGAGTGCTGCAGCCTCTGCCCGGAAGGCCTCCCAGGACCCTCTGACTAGGCTGGGCCCACCCTGGTCCTCAGCTCTCTGCACTGTCCGGTGGTACCCACATCCTCTCTTGCCCTCCCCCAGACTCTGAGCCCCTCACACTAGACCTGGGCAGGTACCACTAAAGGCCTGAGGGAGCCCTCAGGGGAGGGTCAGCTGAGGGGGCAGGCCTGGACTCTGCAAAGCGGGGGAGGAGGGGGGAAGGAGGAGGAGGAGGAGGATAGTACAGGGCGCTGAGGCAGAGGGACTTCCTGGAGGGGCTGCCCTGGGGCTGGGAGCCAGCTACGAGAAAGACGGGGTGCTCCCTTACATTGAGCAGAGCTCAAGGGGCCAGTGGGGATGGTGATGACCTGCCCCTGCAGCTTGCCTGCACATGACCCCCTCCTGGCCCCCCATACTCCGACCGTAGCCCGTGGCTCCAGGTCACCAGGGCAGAACACCCCAGTTCCCAGAGGAGTAAGTGCCCCAAAACTGATACTAAACACCAACCTGAGGGTCCTACCCCTCAGGCTGCCTCAGGCGGAGCTTCCCGAAGCTGAGGTCCCTGCAAAGGACCCGCATTTACAAACACTGCAAATACCCACCCCCACACCCGGAGCCTCTGTTTCTGGCTCAGATTTCCCTCTGTAAGTTTTCAAAATGCTCTGCTTCCTGCTGCCCACATGACCATGACTTGCTGGCTGACCTCACCCTCTCCTTGCCCCAGGGGTGGACAGGCAGCAACTTGCTGGATGACCCACCCTCACCCCACACTCAGGCACAACAGGCCGAGGGCCGGAGAGAGGGTAGAGCAACCCTGAATGGCCTGGTTCCAGCCAGATGGAGGCTGAGCTCAGGCCGGCCCCCAGCCCACCCTGCCTGGGGCTGCCCAGAGCAGCCACCTCATGGTGCCTGGCAGGTTCCCATGCCGGGTGCAAGAACACCAGCCTCCAACTCTGGACGCCCTGCAACAAACCATGAAGGACCAGGAGGTGGCAAGACAAGCTCTCCTGTCCAGCTCACCAGAACATTCTCATAGAGCGGTTGTTGGCCTGGGCTGTCACTTTAGTTCAAACGACCCTGGTCTGAGAGCAGCTTACAAGCCGCCATCTGCTACAGCGAACTCAGCCCTCTGGTCCAGAGCCGACCCTCCTGCAAGAAAGCCGGCCTCGAGGAGTTCAGTCATTTGCACGGGAGTCGCCCCAGGAACAGCAACTCAGAGATGATCACTTCCAAGCTGCCGTTTTTAATACCTCTGAGAGTAACTAGCGTTTACCACCTTGTGACAGGTGGTGCTCGGGGCTGGAAGCATATTAGCTTTCCTGCTGGTGAGGAGCCTGAGGCACAGGAGGCTGCAGCACTTGCCTCTGCTGGTCCAGAGCAGAGTTCCTAGCACCAATGCCTCCAGTGCCCCCCTACCCCATCCACGCAAGGCCGTCTAAGGATCCTTCAAGGCTGGACCCTCCAGCTTCTGAAGGATTCTCCCACAAGATAAAGCTAAATTCGAAGCCCGCAGCTGTCCCCTGCAGGTCGACCCCGGTTCCTTCCCCCAAGCCTCCACTCCCCACTCCGACTTACTTCCCAAATGCTCACTCCCTTTATCTTTCCCCTCTGTCCACCCGCCTGAGGATCATGCACTCTTCCAAGACAGGACCTAGTGTGACCTCTCCTGCTTTTGGGGTCCCTCACACCTTCCTCACAGAGCACTGGGCCTGGTTTTCCAGGAGCCTGGAGCCAGGAGGAAGGAAGCTGCATCATGTACCTCAGAGTCCCAGGCAAACTGCATGCAGCCGAGCACACGACACGCACACAATAAATTATGTTTTAAGTCACTTAAGAGCAGCTAGTCACTTGTTATTAAATGCAAATGAACAAACAAAAAAGGTCGCAGAGGTTCTTTTAAGGGAATGAGTTTTAAGGGAAGAAATCAACAGTTTGTTTCAAAAAAAGCCAACTCCTGTGTCTATGCATAAAGAAAAGTGGGAAACTCTTGAGCACATTCAGTCCCGAAATAAACCCCAATTCAACCTCGAAGCTTCCAATCTCTCTACCTGTCACCCTTAAAGCCAAGCCAGTTTCATACTTCTGGTTTGTAAACTTCAGATTACCCTCTTTTAAAGAGTAAAAAAGAAACAATTGTTGTGAGAAGAAAACAACAAAGCATCCATATCCCCACCACTGCAAATTCTCCCCTTTCACGTCACTTCTCATGCAGACACAGAAAGCACTTCAACAGAAGACCCCACTCAAGGAACAGACTTTGACCTTCATTGTCTGATGCATTTCTGGGGGCTGGGGAAACCTAGATAAGCTCTAGACAAACAACCTGATACTTGAGTCCTTCCTCATTAAACACCACACAAGTGTTTAATGGACAGATCTAGGATAGGAGTAGAAAAACGAAAAAACAATCACAAAACCGAGTAAGGCCAAGCAATCAACAAAAGAAGTTCATTAGCTCAAAATTAACACACACGGAAATTCACTTAAGGCCGCAAACTTCTGTGCTGACCTGCAAAGCACATTTCAACCACTGTGCTTCAATTTCAATGAACTGCTAAGGGAAACTGAACGCACATATTTGTCATTCCTAAGGTCGCCCTGAAGGCCTGTCCCGCTCCCTGTAAAGATGCAGCCCCCCAGATATTCCCACTGCAAAAGCAAACTCTGCAACCTAAGCTCTTAAAATCTCTTGGGGTTCAAAAGCAGTAAAAATAGTTGCTCGTGTATACAGTGTTCCAAAAAAAAAGAAAAGGAAAAGGTTACCTAAGCAGAAGACCATCTGCCTTTCCTTTAAATCCACTAAGAAATAAACTGTGAGGAGATAAATTAGCTTCATGCTACCGGGACTCTACAGCAGCGTGCGACTGGGCTCTCCCACGCTCCTTAACACCAAGATAATGGGCCGGCTCCTCGACCCCGAGAGTCACCGGGCCGAGCGCCTCCCAGCGTCTCCCAGGACTACAGAACCCCGGGTTCCAGGTTCCGAGCTCGCCCTGCCATTTACCAAGCGGGACCCGAGGCGCGTTCCCGCCTCTGCCACTAGGACTGCCCGAGCACGGACTCGCCGCATCCCCGCGGGCCCGGCTCCCGGCACCGGCAACCGCGGCGCGGACCCGACCCGGCCCGCCTCTCCCTGGGCTCACCGCGCGGACGGCCGCAGGCCCAGCCCCGTTCAACAGCGGCGTGGCCTCCCCGGCCGGCGCCCCGGGCCGCGCCGCCCTCCGCAGCAGCGGCGCCGCCTCGTCGTCGTCCACGTCGCGTCCGGACCACGACACCTTTTTGGAGACGTTGGCCATGTCCCGCCGCAGAGGACCGGCCAGGCAGCGCCTTGGCCGTGTTTGTTCTCGTGACCCGCGCCTCGGCCACGTGACCCGGACGGCCGTCACGTGGCCCAGATGGCACCCGCGTGCCCCGGCGGCGGCTGCGGGGCGCGCGCGCGCGCGGCCTTCTGGGAGTTGTAGTCCCGCTGCCTGGTGGACTCGCCTGTCAGGACCGATCACCACGTAGCAAACGGTTGTGCTGAGGACACAACACAGCCCTGTGGCCTTCCTGCGGAAAACGCTCCACTGATCCCATCCCAGGGGGAAAATGCAGATGAACCCAAATTGAGGGACACCTGCTAAACAGCTAGCCAGCTCGTCCCGTAGTGTCAGCGTCACGAAAGACCAAGAAAGACTGAGTGACTGCCTTGGATGGAGGATAAAGAGATGGGCAACTGAAGGCTGCTCGTGGGCCTGGCATTTTGGGGACAATTGGCAAAGATTGGATCTGCACTGTACATTACATAGCGGTGTTATAGCTGCGCCCAGTCGCCCAAGGGTGATCTTTGTCTGGGGGTCATATCAGAAAAGTCCTTTTTCTCAGTAGACATACACTGAGATATTCAGGGGTTGTGATGTGATGTCTGCAACGTAGTCTCAGATGATTCACAAGCTAATGGTAATCACAATACGTAGCTACCAATAGCGGGAGAAAGAAAATGTGGTAGGATGTTAGCAGGTGATGAATATGGGGTAAATATAAATGATGTGCAATGTAGTCCTCTTGTAACTTTTTTCTTTAAACTTGAAACTTTTCAAAATAAAAAGATTTTAGAAGTTCTTTATAGGCTCTTCCTCCACATATTTCAAAATAAAACCAAAATTGAAACTAAAATAAGAGGAAGGAAGCCCAACAGGATTAAGTTTTCCCACGATCACTGTGCAACAATTTTTTGAAAATACTAAGAACAACGTTCTTTCAGAAAAGGTGTTTTCTCCTTAGTGTGACCTGGCTTTGCCCTTTCGAGGGATGTTGACAAGCATGTGATGGCCCTGGCTGTGGAGGAGGGCCTGGAGGCTGCAGAGTGAAGCTGGCACCGGCTCCAACGAGCCTCAGGGCTGGTCCCAGGCTGGTTTGACTGAACGAAGTGGACGAGTGTGGTTTGCGTGAAACCGTCCAGGCAGGAGGAGAGCTGCACACAGCGATGGGGAAGTGAGAACAGTCCCGGGGACGGAGGGGTGGTGCTGGGGAAGCCCCTCTGGATCCTTCTGTCCTCCCCCCACTCAGGAACGCAGCAGACGCAGGTCAAAGGTGGGATTGATGGGGTTCAAGGTGGATGTGGCTCATGCCACTCACTCAGTGGGGATGGTGGATCACATGAGATGCGTGCTCACACTCCCCTGCACAAAACCTGATGGGCTGCCCTCGACAGAGCCCAGACTCCTCAGCTGGACAAGCCAGCCCTTCCCAAATTCCTATCGACCTGAGCTCCCACGAAGCTCCTTCCCAAGCCCTTTCCCAGGCTGCCCTGCCCTCGTGGAGACTCTCAGATGCGATGCGGCTGGCCGCCCACAGCCATGATGCTTCTGCCAAATACCCACTGTCTTAGGGTCTGTGAACCTTGGCAGAAATGCTGCTGTAGAAGTGAAATATCCTGGGTCCCCCATGGTGTCGTAAGCACCCGAAAGCGGGGGAGGGGAGGGTGGGAAATACCCTGTGTGGTCTTTTAGTGCTAGGGACCTCAAGAAACACTTCCTAATCAAATTAACAGTCTTCCCCCCCAAAAGATGTCATCTCTCCCACCTTAATAGAATGAGACGGAGCAAGGGCTCCAAAATAGGCCAGAGGAGCCTGGGAAAGAGGACGCTTTGAGAAGGGCAGCTCTCCATGAAGATGGATGCGTCCTGGGGAAGTGCCAGGGGAAGCAGAAGTCCGTGATTACAGGACCTTCCCGTGGCCACCCAGGGGTGTTTCCAGACCTAGGATGCATCCCCTGACCTTGACTCACAGACCAGGGGTGGGGGTGGGGGTGGGGGTTGGGGGGGCAGGCAGGTGGTGGCTGGCCAAGTCTCTGAGCTGAAGGCCTGGGATTGCTGGGGCCACAGACAGCTCTGCAGAGATGGGAGCACTGCTAAGAGGCCCCAGAGACTGATTTCAGGCCCCTCTCCATGTAGCAGTGCCCTCCAGCCACCTCCTCAATGCAGAGCTGAAACCAGGCCCCTCGCGGTTCCGTCAGACCTCTCTAGTTTGTTTCCTCACTTTTTTTTAAAAAGTTATCTTTTCCAACTTTAAAAAAATTAATTTATTTATATTTGGCTGCATTGGGTCTTCGTTGACACACGCGGGCTTTCTCTAGTTGGCGAGCGGAGGCTACTCTTCGTTGTGGTGAACAGGGCTCTAGGCATGCAGGCTTCAGTGGTTGCAGCACGTGAGCTCAGTAGTTGTGGCTCGTGGGCTGTAGAGTGCAGGCTCAGTAGTTGTGGCGTGCCTGGGCTTAGTTGCTCCACAGCATGTGGGATCTTCCCGGACCAGGGCTCGAACCCGTGTCCCCTGAATTGGCAGGCGGATTCTTAATCACAGAACCACCAGGGAAGTCCCTGTTTCCTCACTTTTAAAATGGATTGGGGACTTCCTGGTGGCGCAGTGGTTAAGAATCCGCCTGCCAATGCAGGGGACACGGGTTTGAGCCCTGGTCCGGGAAGATCCCACATGCCACAGAGCAACTAAGCCTGTGCACCACAACTACTGAGCCTGTACTCTAGAGCCCAGGAGCCACAACTACTGAGCCTGCATGCCGCAACCACTGAAGCTTGCGTGCCTAGAGCCCGTGCTCCGCAACAAGAGAAGCCACCGCAATGAGAAGCCCGTGCACTGCAACGAAGAATAGCCTTGCTTGCCGCAACTAGAGAAATCCCACGCGCAGCAACGAAGACTCAATGCAGCCAAAAATAAATAAAATAAAAATAAATAAATTTGCTTAAAAAAAAAGAATATTAAAAAAAAACATGATTCTATCATACAACCCAGCAATTCCATGGCTAGGTATCCACTCAAGAGAAACAGAAGCATATGCCTACACAACCCTTCACATGAGACTGTGCACAGAATCTTCACTCACAAGGGCCCCCAACTGGAAACCACCCAAGTTTCCATTGACTGATGTACAAAACAAACAAAACAAAACATGGTCCATTACAACAGAAGGTCATTCAGCCATACAAAGGAACGCAGCACTGACACACAACAACACAGATGAAACTGTAAAACACGATACTCAGTGAGAGACGCCAGACACCAAGGATCACACAGTGAATGAGTCCATTTATGTGAAACGTCCAGAGCAGGCAAATCCACAGAAACGGAAAGCAGGTGAGTGGGTGCAGAGCTGGGGGAGGGGCTGGGTGGGGACAGGAGTGACCCCAACAGGCATGATTTCTTGGGGGGGGGCAATGGAAATGTTCTAAAACTGGATCGTGATGATGGTTGCACACTCGACAAATTTACTGAAAATCTTTGAACTGCACATTTAAAATGGGTGAATTTCATAGTATGTAAATTATACCCCAATACAGACTCTTTAAAAGCATTGCCCACCCGGGCTTCCCTGGTGGCGCAGTGGTTAAAAATCTGCCTACAAATGCAGGGGACACGGGTTCAAATCCTGGTCCGGGAAGATCCCACATGCCGCGGAGCAGCTAAGCCCGTGCTCCACAACTACTGAGCCCGCGTGCCACAACTACTGAAGCCTGCACACCTAGAGCCCGTGCTCTGCAACAAGAGAAGCCACTGCAATGAGAAGCCCGCGCGCCACAACGAAAAGTAGCCCCCACTCGCTGCAACTAGAGAGAAAGCCCACACACAACAATGAAGACCCAATGCAGCTAAAAATAAATAATTAAAAAAAAAAAAGCATTGCCCACCCATCCTTAATGTGTGTTTCTGAGTAGCTTGCTCCCTCTGCAGGCCCCCTTCCCAGCAGCTCTAGTGGCCTTACCAGCTGCCACAGAACCTTGATGGAACCCCCAGGGAGAAGAAGCTGTGGGGCCAGGAAATGGACTCCCCAGCCCTTCTCATGAGAGATGTTGGAACAAGGAGCAGTCAAAGAGAAACTTTCTCAAGCCACATGGAGAGAGGACCACAGAAGTTAATGCAAGGAAAATAAGAGTTCTCCAGGAGCCAGCCTGTGGTTGCCCCAATCCCATGCCCAAGGAGAGGCAGAGCTGAAGCGCAGAGAGGGAAAGAATGCAGTCGTGGGGATCCTGAGGCCGGGCTCTGCCTGTGGGCCCTCCCCCCACCCTGTGGAATACCCACATCCTATGTTAGAGAGCAGGTGTGCCTGGCCCAGGCCGGAGGCAGCAGCCTGATCCTCAGTGTGGGTGGGGGGCCCTCTATGGAGTGTGCTGGGGTCGGGGGTGGCCGAGAGTGGCTGAAGACTTGCTCTTCCCGCCGGCCCACCGTGTGAGCACAGCTGCTGTGTAGCGAGGCCTCAGGAACAGAGCTGTAGGCAGGTGCAGTTCACCCTTTGCACGAATCCGTCTACCGATGCGGCGTTGGCCAGTGTTAGGATGGCACCCATCAGGAACTCCTTCCCAGTGGCCAGGTTTGAGACCTCCCTGGGGACCAGCACCCGGTGCCATATGGCCAGGCCTGCTAGGCTCCCCACAAAGGCCTCAGGGCCATCAAACCCCCCCCCCCAATGCTCTCGTGCTCCTGGCCTAGCATGAGGGAGCCCCCCGGAGGAATCTCATAGCCTTCCCCAAAGCGGGAGCCAGTGGCCACTAGCCTTCGGCCCATGTGGAGCCAGTACCTGCCCAGGCCCAGAATGGACGTCCAGATGACACACACATGGTGCCAACAGCCGTCTGGCAGTGGCTGGAGGGGCAGCTCCCTGAAGGCCGGGTCTCCAATCACAGAGTGGATGGAGCCGGGGGGCAGGGAGTCTCGGCCATGCAGAACCAGCTTGTCATTTTCTTTGCTGGTGTACGAGAGGAGGGTGCCCAGGTGGCCCAAGGCTGTGCAGACCCAGCTGCAGACAGACAGGGCCCGTAGGCCAGTGAAGAAGCCGGGCAGAAGAAGATCACATTCACAGTGGACGCGTTCGGAAAGATGAGTGCAGGGTCCACGTTGCAAACTAGAAACAGAGGGGCGAGAGTCAGCCCACACCGCAAGGGGCAGCGGCTCACTTATTCTCACGTGATCAGCCTCTTACCGGTGGGAGGACTGAGAAGAAGGACACCTGGCTGAGCCACACTCCTCACCAGCAGGGGGCGCTGGATGAGTGTCTGTGGCTGCTGGAACAAATCCCCACAAACACAGTGGCTCAGAACAACACAAATTTGGCATCTCACAGTCTGGAGGTCAGAAGTCCCTGCAGGTCTCCCCGGGCTTAAAATCACAGTGTGGGCTGAGCTGGTTCCTCTGGAGGCTCCAAGGAGAAGCCCTTTGCTGCCCTCTGACGTCTGCTCCTGCCCTTGTATCTGCATCCCTGACACTGAGCCTCCTGCCTCCCTCTTATAAGGACCCTGTGATGACACTGGTCCACGGGATAATCCAGGATCAGCTCCCATCTCAAAATCCTTAATCACACCGGAAAGTCTTCTTGTCACGTGAAGTGACACATCCATAGGGTCTGGAACCAGGACATGGACATCTTTGGGGGCTTCCTGCTGACCAGACTTCCTGCCAGATCTGCTTGCCAGAAGAGTAGGCGGGGCAGGGGTGGGGCACCCAGCCAGAAGCTGGGGGCAGAGCCAGGGAACGCACATTTCTAGGCCACTGGCCCCTTGGGTTCCAGGGTGGAGGGCGTTCTGTGGCCAGCCCCCACCTCCCCTCTTCACCTGGGGGCTTTTGTCATAATCTTTGGCAGTGGTCCTCAATTGGAGATGACTGTACCCCTGGGGGACATCTAGCAGCGTCTGCGGACAGTTTCGGTTGTCAGAACTTTGGTGGCCCCCAAACCTACAGCCCCCCTTTCCCGGGACCCCTGGTGGTGCCCTCCAGGTCAGCCCGTCAGCCCTGTCTTACTGGTGAGGCCCCTAGAACCACACAGATGGGGAGGGACCTGCTTCAGATTAATGGGCCCTGTGGGCTGCAAGGCCAGACAGGGAGCAGCCTGGTCACAGCTGAGAGTTCAAGCTGAGCGGGCATCTAGTAGTCGGAGGCCAGGGATGCTGCTTAACACCGTTCAATGCCCTGGACGCTCCTACAACTAGGGACTACCCGACCCCAGACGCCAGTACAGTAGTGCCGCCATAGAGAAACCCTTACCTGGAGATGAGAGGTGGCAAAGCAGAACCGGCTTTGCAAAGGCCGGGGGGCCTCCATTGGTGGGCACAGACCCCATGGGATGCAGGCCAGGGCCCTGCAGAGAGGGTTCCTGCTGGCTACGGCTGAGGACGTCCTTGGGACCCCACCAGCCCTGACCAGGGTGATCACCAACTCTGAGTGGGCATTTACTGCCTGCGGGCAGCACCTCACTGGTGTGTGCATTGGGTGGCCTGACCTGCAGGCAGGCCATCACCTGGACGGTTCCTTTCTTTGAGGGCGGGTTTTGTGGGGTGTAAAGCAGTGTCTTCTCCGCTCAGCCTGGGGAGAAGTCTTCCTGGAGGGGACTGGAGGCCTAAGGAGGCACCAGAGGGAAAAGTGGACACTGATGGGGAAGGGCAGGCCACGGTGCTTACTCTCTCCTGGGCTCTCGGTGGGCCACGTCTGCTGGCTGCCTGGGCCTGGGGACTCCTGCGTCTCTTGGAGACAGCGAGCGAAGTCCAGAGGTGGGTCCCTGAGCTCAGGCGGAGCTCTGGGTGCCTGCCTGCAGCTGTGGGGAGCTTGGGCTCGATGGTCTAGGTGGGGCCGGGGTCACGCGCAGGGCGGCGGTGCCAGGGCTGGCTACTTGCAGCCGCCCCTTGAAAGCTGCCAGCCTGGCGCCCTGGCTCTGGACGAGGGGCATCAGGCGAGCCAGCATGCCGTGCACGGCCTGCACGTCCAGGGCCAGCAAGAAAGGGCGTTCCAATGCTCCTCCTGCCCCTTCCTCTCCTGGGCGCGCTGCTTGCTCCTCTCACTCAGGGCGGCGCCCAAGGCCAGCAGCCTGTTGTCCACCTTCTGGCCTCTGCACTGAGTCTTCCACACCCAGGTCTTGAGGTGGCCCAGGTTGCCCTGCACGGCGGCCTGCAGCTGGCTGAGTGCCAGGGCCACGGCCTGGCTCTCGTGGGCCAGGCTCCAGAACCAGGCCTCCATGACGAAGGACAGGTTGTAGTTTCTGGCGATGCCCTGCAGGTGCTTTAGGGTTGCCTCTTGGAACCTCCAAAACTGTAGAGAGGACACAGGCACTCCTGGGGATTAGATCCTCAGGGCAACGCGGTGAGGCGGCTGATCACTGCCACTAGCCCCCTCGCACCAAGCTAGAGCTCACAGCGGCAGACAGCCCCAGGTCTGTGCTGCAGTGGGTGAGGGCGCCACAGGCGGCTCCCATCCCTCCCCGAGCGCCACACTCTTTACCCCTCGACCCTCAGGGTCCTACCTGCCAGCGAGATGGCTGTGCATGGGGATCAAAGTGGGGAGTGCTTGGCGCAGCCCTGATGCCTGCAGGGCATCCGGGAACTGGCCACAGACCCGCACAGGAGTCTCTGCTCTGTGGGGGACCCGGGACATTGCTCCCCATGCCCAGCGGGCTGGCCCCCACCACCCCAGCACACCTGCAGCTACACTCCTCAGGTGGCCCCCAGCTCCACCCACCCTCAGCTGGCTCAGCTTTAGAACAAACTCCCCAAACCCATTTTGCTATTCCAGCCATAGGTGAAAACAGGCAGCCGATAAGACCTGCAAACTCTACGCTGAGCCCACAGAGCACAGAAGCTTACTACTGTTTCTATGACTTCTGTGCTTTGTCTGGTGTCAGTTAAAAAAACTCTACTGCCCCCAACAGTGGGTATACTCACCTGTGCTTCTAGTCTACAGAGCCTCTCAAGGAATGGTTTTCTTTGCCTCTCAGGTGCGGTTTCTTGCAACAAAGCCCCACATAGATATATGGGCACAAAAATGAGGAAGAAAGGCAGGGTTTTCCTCCCCAGGCAGCCCATTCTGAGAAGGAGCGAGAGGCACCCCGGCTGCAGGAGAAGCCATCTGCTTGGAGCTCCTGCCTCCCCCACGCTTGCCCACCTCTCCTGGGCAGTGGTTTTCCTTCTTCCTCTCTGGCTTGGAGTCAGGTACCTCCTGACACCTTAACAAAAGGCATTTGCTCTGAAGACTTGGAGGTTCCCAAGGACACAAGCTTAAAACAGATGCGAACAGTTTCTTTGGAAAATAACTCTACTGGGTGCAAGCTCTGGTCCAGCTGGCTCAGAGGCAGACAGGGGCGATTGTTTTAGCAGGACCACATGGACTCATGTTCCCAGAGAAGTTGAAGCAGGACACGGATCCCAGTGGGGGCCGGGGAGTCCTTAGAGCCAAGTCTGCATCAGGGACAGCAGATCCGATGAGGCCCCTCTCTTGCCCTTGGACAAGGCAAAGGAAATGGGATTGGAGCCACTTACATTTGTCTTGGGGCCCAGGTTGTGTAGTGGGCTGAGTGGTAGGTCTCAGTCCTAACCCTGGTGCCTGTGAATGGGAGTTTATTTGAAAAAAGGGTCTTTGCAAATGTAATTAAGGATCTTGAGATGAGGTCATCTTGGATTATCCATATGAGTCCTAAAGTGTCTTTCTGAGACAAAGAGAAGATCATATGGGGAGAAAGCCATGTGAAGATGGAGGCCGAGGCTGGGGTGAAGCTGACACAGGAGCACAAGGAGCTGGGCGGGGCAGGAAGGATCCTCCCCAGGAGCCTTTGGAGGGAACGTGGTCCTGCTGACACCTTGATCTTGGATTTCTGGCCTCCAGAGATGCAAGGGAAAAATGTTCTTGCTGTTTTAAGCTCCCCTATTTGTTGCTATTGGTTACAGCAGCCCCCAGAAACAAACACAGGCTGTCTAAGTAAATAGGGGGCGTGGGACCTCATTCTAGGGCCAGGTCCATGGACAGTTGTGACCCAGTGAGGGGAGCAGGATAAAACCATGGTCAAGGCCAAGACTTGCAGTTAAACAAGATGGCTGTGCAGAGAAGCTGGTCTCCTCTCACTCCTCAAGCGTCACTTTGATGGCAGCAAAGGAATAAAGCCTGAAGGAGACACAGGGCAAGGAGAGCAGGCAAGGAGAACTGACCCGGCGGAGCAGAGAGAACTGCAGAGGGGAGCCCGAGGGGCAAGCAGCGTGTCGGTGTCCTGGGGCTGCTGCACCCGATGACTACCCTGGGGGGTGGGAGCAGGAATTCATTCTCCCACGGCTCTGGAGGCCGCAAGTCAGAAATCAAGGTGTCAGCAGGACCACACTCCATCCGAAGGCTCCTGGGGAGGATCCTTCCTGCCTCATCCAGCTCCTGCTGTTCCTGTGGCAGCATCACCCCAACCTTGGCCTCTGTCTTCACACGGCCTTCTCCCCTGTGTGTCTCTCCTCTTCTGTCTAACAAGGACACCAGTCATTGGATTCAGAGCCCACCTGGATAATCCAGGGTGATCTTATCTTGAGATCCATAACTTAGGTACGTCCGCAAAGATCCTTTTTCCAAATAAGGTCACATTCACAGGTACAAGGATTAGGACTTGGACGTGTCTTTTTGGGGGCCACCATTCAGCCCATTACAGGGAGGTTTGAGAGGTTGGGGGGTGTCCAGGGATGGTGGGGGGCTGGGGCGAGGTGCAGGCTGGAGTGAAGAGACTCATGTCAGTCTGGATACAGAGCTGCCGGACCCCTGTCTCCTCCCTGACCCCCTGTGCTGGGCGACTGCTCCTGCACACCAGCCCAGCCCCAGCACGTGGTCCGCTGGCTCTCTGGAGCCGCACTATCCAATACCAGAGCCCCAGCCACATGCGACTGTTGAGCCCTTCATGAGGCTAGTCTGAGTGGAGATCCACTGCAGGTGAAAAGTGCACACTGGATTCAAAGACTTAGTACAAAAAAGGAATGTAAAATACCTCACTATCAACAGATTTTATGTGTGATTACATTTTAAATTTTATTTATTTATTTATTTGGCAGCACCAGGTCTTAGTTACGGCATTCGGGATCTTCGTTGCTGCGTGTGGAATCCAGTTCCCTGACCGGGGAGGGAGCGTGGAGTCCTAACCACTGGACCACCAGGGAAGTTCCATGATTACATGTTGAAATGGTAGTATTGTGGATGGACTGGGTTAAATAAAACACATTATTAAAATTAACTTCAGGGGCTCCCCTGGTGGCGCAGTGGTTAAGAATCTGCCTGCCAACGCAGGGGACATGGGTTCGAGCCCTGGTCTGGGAAGATCCCACATGCCGCAGAGCAACTAAGCCCATGCACCACAGCTACTGAGCCCACATGCCACAACTACTGAAGCCTAGAGCCCATGCTCCGCAACAAGAGAAGCCACCGTAATGAGAAGCCCGCGCACTGCAACAAAGAGTAGTCCCTGCTTGCTCCAACTAGAGAAAGCCCACGTGCAGCAGCAAAGACCCAACTCAGTCAAAAATAAATAAATAAATAAACAAATAAATAAATATATTTTTAAAAATAAAAAATAAATAAAATTAACTTCAGGACTTCCCTGGTGGTCCAGTGGTTAAGAACCTGCCTTCCAATGCAGGGGGCGTGTGTTCAATCCCTGGTTGGGGAACTAAGATCCCACATGCCGCAGGGCAACTAAGCTCATGCACTCTGGGGCCCATGCAATGCAACTACTGAGCCCGTGCGCACTGAAGCCCACGCGCCTCAACTAGAGAGAAGCCTGCGTGCTGCAACTAAGACCCAAAGCAGCCAAATAAATAAATAAATAAAATTAACTTCACCTGTTTCTTTTTACTTTTTTTTAGTATGGCTATAAAATACTTAAAATTAAATATGGGACTCACGTCATAGTTGGATTGGACAGTGTTGCACTGGAGAAAGACTCCAGGTCTGCAGGCCCCGGGGCACAGAGACAGGGGCTTTCCTTTCAATCTCTTTCATCATCCATTCTTTTTTAAAAAAATTTAGTGGAAAGCACACATATCATAAAATTCACTCATTTTAAGTGTAATGCTAACAACAAGGTATTAAAATAAATGTCTACCTATTGGACTGTGGGAGTCTGAGGGTTCTGCCAGCTTCTGGAAAGCAGCAGCCACAGCCAGGCACCTGCCCCCAGGCTGGAGAGGGGAGGGAGCTTCTTTAGCCCCAGCAGAAAACCTGCACTTACTGACAGGCAAGAGCTTCCCTGCACCCCACCAAACAAAATCCCATCCACAGGTGAGACAGAAATCTGCCCAAACAGAAGAGAAACTGGAAGACGTGCAGAGGGCCAAGGAAAGGCTCAAAGGCATTCTAAATAATACCCTCAGAGAGATAAGAAAAGCTTTGTGTCCACAAGGCAAGAAACGGGGACTTCCCTGGTGGTCCAGTGGTTAAGACTCGGCGCTTCCACTGCAGGGGGTGCGGGTTTGATCCCTGGTCAGGGAATTAAGATGCCGCATGCCTCATGGCCCAGCCAAAACAAACAAAACAACAACAAAAAAACACAAGGCAAGAAACGATGCTGTGAAAAAAGAAATAATCAGAAAAGAAGAAGTTGCTCTTGGAAATGAAAATTATGATTTTCCCCAAAATCAAAAAAGTAATAAAATGACTAAATAATAAAATAAAATAAAATGCAAACAAATAGATAAGTATAACAGAAAAGCTAAAAGGCGAAGTTAAGGCAATTTGTCAGAAAGAAGGCAAAAAGGCAAAGAGATAGAAAAGAAGAGAGAAAACATTGGATTGAGATCAATCTTAGAGAGTGAGACTACAAGATATAGTGGAGGAAATTTTAGGAAGACAATACAGGAAGGTGCTGCAGACAAGGGTACCCATCATTTCAAGACCACATGGCAGAGAGCGCCAGGTCAAGGAACGGGGCCTGACTCCAAAGCTCATCTTGCCAAGTGTCAGACACCACAGATGAGATCCTAAACGTGTCCAGAGAGAAAAACCTGGTCACATGCGAAGGATTGGGACTTTCTCCAGAGGGCTGTGGGCCACCTCAGCAGCAAAGCTGGCTGCCAAAGACAGAGGAGCAAAGTGATTTTCATTTAAAATTAAGCAGTCAGAGTGGGTGGTTAGCCCAGATGGTTAGAGCGTAGTGCTGATAAAATTGTGCATCTAGCTCAAATGTGAATCCACCTGGAGCAAAGAATAAAGGCATTTTTCAGATATGCAAAGGCTTAAGAAATTTATCCTCTGTGCACTATCTCTTGAGAAGTTACTGGGTAACAGGATTCAGGAAAATGTGGGGAATAGAGAAGGGAGGAAGCTGTAATAGGAACCGGGAGTGAGAGCCCTAGTCCAGGAGCAGCCCGGGAGAAGTTCTCGGAGAGTCCCAGCAAGGCATCATCCTCCGCTCCTCGCTCACTCGCACCCACGTCCAACCCATCCGGTCCAGCCCAGGTCAGCTCCTTCTCACCACCTGGCCCACCCTTGTCCACGCACCGGACGCCCTGCGGGGCTTTCTGCATCCGCGGTTGCCCCCTACCGTCCATTTTTCTAACTGCACCCAGGGTGGAGCTTTTAAAAGGAGACCGCTCTTGGTCACTCATTTTCTTACTCTCCCTAATTTTTCTTACCATTATCTGCCATCTGATGTATTGTACGTGTACTTTATTTGCCCCCTTGACGTGTGAACAGGAACTTTGCTTCATTCTGTGCCCTGGAAGAGTGCTTGCTGCCTCAGCAGGCAATTAGTTAATGTATGTTGAATGAATAAATGTTTTCCATGTCACCTCAACGGCCTTCTGGGCTGAAATAGTACCTCTTTGAGAAGTCTTCCCAGATCGCTCCCCAAGGTCGCCATAGGACGTTCTGCCAAGACTGAAGGTCCTATATCTACGCTGTGCATTGTGTCAGGTGGCTAACGAGCCCTTGACACGTGGACAGTGCAACCAAGGAACTGACCCGGTGGCTGATGGCTACCGTGCTGAACGGTGAAGCACCTGTCCCAGGACATCAATCAATACCCGAAATCACCCCAGTTGCGACTTCTTCCTAGTCTGTGGCCCGTTTCCCTGCAAAGGTCGTGGCCTGCGGAGAGCGGGCCATACCTCTGGGCGGGCGGCGAGGCCGCACACGCGTTTGGTGCCCAGTAGGAGTTTGTGGAGGCACGCACGTGTGAGCTCAGGAGAGATTGGGGCTCGCGAGCGGGGGAAGGGCGGGAGGAGGTCACTCCGGGAAGACCGACGCGGAGGCTGAGGGAAGGCAGGCGGGCGCAGAAGTGCTGGACTCCAAGCCACCTGCCGCGCAGCCCAAAGCACACTGCCCCGCCCACCAGGAACCACGCCCACTA